ATTTAGGCCTAAGTAGATCACAGGATCTGGTCCAAAGGGGGAATATAACTGAACTGCTTGGTAATAGTGACCATAATATAATTAAATTTAATATCCCTGTGGCGGAGGAAACATGACAGCAGCCCACCACAGTAGCATTTAATTTCAGAAAAGAGAACTACACAAAAATGAGAAATTTCAGAGTAGCAGCCGTGTTAGTCTGTATTCGCAAAAAGAAAAGGAGGACTTGTGGCACCTTAGAGACTAACCAATTTATTTGAGCATAAGCTTTCGTGAGCTACAGCTCACTTCATCGGATGCATACTTTACATAAAGTGATACATAAGCTATTACCAGCAGGAGAGTGGGGTGGGGGGAGAGAAAACCTTTTGTAGTGATAAACACCCATTTTTTCATGATTTGTGTGTATAAAAACAAACATCTTCTGTATTTTCCACAGTATGCATCCGATGAAGTGAGCTGTAGCTCACGAAAGCTTATGCTCAAATAAATTGGTTAGTCTCTAAGGTGCCACAAGTCCTCCTTTTCTTTTTAAAAATGAGAAAGTTAGTAAAACAGAAATGAAAAGGTACAACACAAAAGTGAAATTCCTGCAAATCCCTGGAAACTTTTAAAAGACACCATAATAGAGGCTCAACTTAAATGTGTCCCCCAAATTAAAAAACATTGTAAGAGAACCAAAAAAGTGCCACCCTGGGTAAGCAACTAAGTAAAGAAGCTTTGAGAGGCAAAAAGGCATCCTTTAAAAGTGGAAGTTAAATCCTATTGAGGAAAATAGAAAGGAGCATGAACTCTGGGAAATGAAGTGTAAAACTATAATTAGGAAGACCAAAAAGGAATTTGAAGACCAGCTAGCCAAAGACTCAAAAAGTAAAAGCAAAAAAATGTGTAAGTACATCAGAAGCAGCTAAACAGCCCTTGGGGCTACTACATGATCGAGATGTTAAAGGAGCACTCAAGGAGGATAAGGCCATTTCAGAGAAACAGAATGAATTCTTTGCATCGATCATCACGGCTGAGGATGTGAGGGAGATTTCCCAAACCTGAGCCATTCTTTTTAGGTGACAAATCTAAGGAACTGTCCCAGATTGAGGTGTCAATAGAGAAGGTTTTGGAACCAATTGATAAATTGAACAGTAATAAGTCACCAGCACCAGATGGGATTAACCCAAGAGTTCTGAAGGAATTCAAATGTGAAATTTCGAACTGCTAACTGTGCTGTGTAACCTAGCATTTAAATCAGCTTCTGTCCCAGAGGACTGGAGGATCGCTAATGTAACACCAATTTTTAAAAACGGCTCCAGAGGTGACCCCAGCAATTACAGGCTGGTAAGCCTGATTTCAATACCGGGCAAACTGGTTGAAACTATAGTAAAGAACAAAATTGTCACACACATTGATGACCATGATTTGTTGGGGAGAATCAACATGGTTTTTGTAGAGAGAAATCATGCCTCACCAATCGACTAGAATTCTTTGAAGGCATCAAAAATCATATGGCCAAGGGTAATCCAGTGAATACAGTGTACTTGGCATTTCAGAAGGCCTTTGACAAGTTCCCTCACCGAAGGCTCTTAAGGAGAGTAAGCTGTTGTGAGATAAGGGGGAAGGTCCTCTCATGCATTAGTAACAGGTTCACAGATAGGAAACAAAGGTAGGAATAAATGGTCAGTTTTCAGAATGGAGAGAGGTAAATAGCGGTATCTCCCAGGGGTCTGTATTGGAACCAGTGCTGTTCAACATATTCATAACTGATCTGGAAAATGGGATAAATAGTGAGGTTGCATCATTTTCAGATGATACAAAACTACTCAAGATAGTCCAAAGCAGACTGCGAGGAGTTACAACGGGTTCTCACACAACCGGGTGACTGGGCAACAAAATGGCAGATGAAATTCAGTGTTGATAAATGCAAAGTAATGCACACTGGAAAGCATAATCCCAACTATACGTATACAATGATGGGGGCTAAATTAGCTGTTACCACTCAAAAAAGAGATCTTGGAGTCACTGTGGATAGTTCTCTGAAAATATCCGCTCAGTGGACAGTGGCAGGCAAAAAAGTGAACAGAATGTTGGGAATCATTAAGAAAGGGACAGATAATAAGACAGAAAATATTACATTGCCTGTATATAAATCCATGGTACGCCCACAGCTTGAATACTATATGCAGATGTGGTCGCCCCATCTCAAAAAAATAAATTGGAATTGGAAAAGGTACAGAAAAGGGCTACAAAAATGATTAGGGGTATGGGACAGCTTCCTTATGAGGCGAGATGAATAAGACTGGGATTTTCAGCTTGGAAAAGAGATGACTAAGAGGGGATATGACTGAGGTCTATAAAATCCTGACTGGTGTAGAGAAAGTAAATAGGGAAGTGTTATTTATTCTTCTCATAACACAAGAACAAAGGGTCACCCAATTAAATTAATAGGCGGCTGGTGTAAAAGAAACAAATGGAAGTATTTCTTCATGCAATGTACAGTCAGCCTGTGGAACTCCTTGCCAGAGGATGTTGTGATGGCCAAGACTATAACAGGGTTCAAAAAAGAACTGGATAAATTCATGGAGGATAGGTCCATTAATGGCTATTAGCCAAGATGGACAAATATGGTGTTCCTACCCTCTGTTTGTCAGAAGTTGGGAATGGGCGACAGGGGATGGATCACCTGATGAATACCTGTTCTGTTCATTCCCTCTCGGGCACTGGCAAAGGCCACTGTCAGAAGACACGGAGTACTTGTGACACCTTAGAGACTAAAAAATTTATTTGAGCATAAGCTTTCGTGAGCTACAGCTCACTTCACTGGATGCATTCAGTGGAAAATACAGTGGGGAGATTTATATACACAGAGAACATGAAACAATGGGTGTTACCATACACACTGTAATGAGAGTGATCACTTAAGGTGAGCTATTACCAGCAGGAGAGCGGCGGGGGGGGAGGAAACCTTTTGTAGTGATGATCAAGGTGAGCCATTTCCAGCAGTTGACAAGAACGATTGAGGAACAGTGGGGGGTGGGAGTGGGGAGAATAACATGGGGAAATAGTTTTACTTTGTGTAATGACCCATCCACTCCCAGTCTCTATTCAAGCCTTAAGTTAATTGTATCCAGTTTGCAAATTAATTCCAATTCAGCAGTCTCTCGTTGGAGTCTGTTTTTGAATTTTTTTTTTATGAAGAATTGCAACTTTTAGGTCTGTAATCGAGTGACCAAAGAGATTGAGGTGTTCTCTGACTGATTTTTGAATGTTATAATTCTTGATGTCTGCCTTGTGTCCATTTATTCTTTTACGTAGAGACTGTCCAGTTTGCCCAACATACATGGCAGAGGGGCATTGCTGGCACATGATGGCATATATCACATTGGTGGATGTGCAGGTGAACGAGCCTCTGATCGTGTGGCTGATGTTGTTAGGCCCTGTGATGGTGACCCCTGAATAGATATGTGGGCACAGTTGGCAACGGGCTTTGTTGCAAGCATAGGTTCCTGCGTTAGTGGTTCTGTTGTGCGGTGTGTGGTTGCTGGTGAGTATTTGCTTCAGGTTGGGGGGCTGTCTGTAGGCAAGGACTGGCCTGTCTCTCAAGATCTGTGAGAGTGATGGGTCGTCCTTCAGGATAGGTTGTAGATCCTTGATGATGCGTTGGAGAGGTTTTAGTTGGGGGCTGAAGGTGGAGGCTAGTGGCGTTCTGTTATTTTCTTTATTGGGCCTATCCTGTGGTTGGTGACTTCTGGGTACTCTTCTGGCTCTGTCAATCTGTTTCTTCACTTCAGCAGGTGGGTACTGTAGTTTCTCAGACATTCTTGTCAACTGCTGGAAATGGCCCACCCCGATTATCACTACAAAAGGTCCCCCCGCCCCCCCCACTCTCTGCTGGTAATATCTCAGCTTAAGTGATCACGCTCCTTACAGTGTGTATGGTAACATCCATTGTTTCATGTTCTCTGTGTATTTAATCTCCCCACTGTATTTTCCACTGAATGCATCCGATGAAGTGAGCTGTAGCTCACGAAAGCTTATGCTCAAATAAATTTGTTAGTCTCTAAGGTGCCGCAAGTCCTCCTTTTCTTTTTTGCGAATACAGACTAACACGGCTGCTACTCTGAAACCTGTCAGAAGACAGGATTCTGGGCTAGATGAACCTTTGGTGTGACTCAGTATGGCCATTCTTATGATCTTCTGTTTTGTCTCATTGACTCTCAGCTAGGTTCCTATGGCCTAAACACTTGTAAAAATAGAACTTAGACCCTTTTGAAAATGTTACCCTTTGTTTAATAGACCCCTTGATCTTCAACAAACACAGGAAAGAAGAAGAGCTGGAGACGCATTGGGAGCAAACATGACATGATGAGAAGAATAATGACACGAAGATGTAGAAAAGGACAGACCATAAAGAACCAAATGCCCCAAAATGATCTAAAAATGAACAAAATCAAGACTCTATTATACTTCATTAAAATGATAGATTCATAGATTCCAAAGCTGTGATCATCTCGTCTGACCTCCCAGGTCACACGGGCCAGAGAACTGCCCCAAAATAATTCCTAGAGCAGAACTTTTCCAAAAACATCCCAGCTTGATTTAAAATTACCAAGTGATGGAGGATCCACCACAACCCTTGGGAAATTGCTCCAATGGTCAGTTACTCTGATCATTACAAATTTACACCTCCTTTCCAGTCTGAATTTGTCTAGGTTCAAATTCTGTTCACTGGATCATGTTACACCTTCCTCTGCTAGATTGAAGCACCCTTTATTAAATATTTGTTCCCCACGTAGGTACTTACAGACTATGATCAGGTCACCCCTTCACCGTCTCTTTGTTAAGCTAAATAGATTGAGATCCTTGTGTCTCTCACTCCAAGGCAGGTTTTCGAATCCTGTAATCATTCTTGTGGCTCTTCTCTGAATAAGGAAGAAAAATTCACAATTTGGGGATCAAGAGGATGTTACAGGTCCCAGCGAAAATAATTCTTTCTCCATGCAAATATTGAAAATTCCATCCATTCCCCTATTCAGCCAGCTCCGACTCTGAGTTGTCAGTGGTTTGGGGGCTTAATGTATGTTGCTGGTACCTCAGAAACTCTTCCTCCATGGTGAGGTAGAAGATGGGGTTGAGGCAGCTGCTGAAATATGTCAGGACACAAGCAAAAGTGCTTCCTATGTCCAGAAGATGTAGAGGGTAAGTTGCTGAGATCTGCAGAAAGGAGAAGATGTGATATGGCAGCCAGCAGAGGAAAAAAGTCGGGATCAAGCCGAGAAGGATCTTTAGTGGCTTGGTGGACTGGATCAGCCTGTTCCTTCTCAGCTTGGCAGCTAGAATGATGTAGATGGTTGGGATCAGGATCAAGGCGAATGGGATCAGAAACCCGACCAGGAACTGGATCGCAATGGCAGCCTTCACCCTCCCTTCATCCAGTTGGAAATTCATGCGGATGTTGGCAGGTGAGAGCATGGACTCCCAGAGATCACCGTACCGCAAGCTGAAACCAGCAGACAGGACCCACATGCCCATAATCAACCTGAAAACCAGGATGGGTGTGCGGTGGTTCTGAGTCCACCGCGGGCATGTCACGAGGATGTAGCGATCGATGCTGAGGGCCGTGAGGAGAAAGGCGTTGGAGAACATATGGAAGGAAGTGACAGTGCTGCTCAGCATCTTGGCCCAGTTTAAGTCCAGGATAAAGATGGAGGTGAATCTGAGGAGCAGGAAGATGATGAAGATGAAATCTGTCATGGCCCAGCTCCAGAACCACACGGCGTTGGCCGTTCTCTCCACACGGCAGGTGGTGAGGAAGAGGATGTAGCCATTCAATGGCACCCCGGCAAGGAAGGCCACACCACTCAGGACCAGGAAGAGAATTTGGAGGAACTCCATTCTGGAAGAATTGCAGTCACAATATCGCCTCCTTTGCTTCAGGGCTCAGCGAGGGCAGCGCAGACGTTGTACTGAGCAAAGGAAAGCAGAGCAATGAAACGGGCACCAGGAGGGGACACGAACGGAGTTTGCTTTCTACTAAACCAAATATTTAAAAAACACACCCCTTTGCTTCTTGCTGAAAAGTTGGATTTCTAGCCAAGGGGAGGTTGACCGTGCGGGTGTCCAGGATGCAGAGACAGAGATATGAGAGATCCCCGACAAATACTCACTAAAATTCCCAAATAATTTTCTTGCTCTTAGTTTCCCAGAGGAGCTGGTTATTCCTGTCTTGGTTTCCCTTCTTTTTTAAAAAAAATAATGGTCTTCTCCACAGTATGCATCCGATGAAGTGAGCTGTAGCTCACAAAAGCTTATGCTCTAATAAATTGTTTGTCTCTAAGGTGCCACAAGTCCTCCTTTTCTTTTTATGGATACAGACTAACACGGCTGCTACTCCAAAACTTCTCCACCCCCTTCATTCTGAAGTGGCATTTTTGTATGGTTTGGGCCATTTTGGGGGGTGGGGGGTGAGATAGTGGAGCCCGGCGGGCAAAATACCCACCAAAAGAACCCAGCTATAGAAATCTCCAGTGATGGACAGCAACTCCCCAAGAGGAGAAAATAAGATTGAAAAGATAACAATGACAAAAAAGCCATCTGGCAAAACACCAGAGGAAGAAAAGACCCGTAACAAGTCAAAAGATTTTTTTTTTAATTGCAAGAGTCTATTTTAGTGAGCAGAAAGGGAGTCCAGACTCCTGGGTTCCATCCCACATTCTGTCATTGAACTGTTTGGGGAGCCTGGACAAGTCACGTCATAGCCCTGTGCCTCAGTTTTCCCTCCAAACATTTATCTGTTTAGAGAGTGAGCTCGCTGTGGCCAGGCCTGTTTCTCCCTGTGGGTCTGTGCAGCACCTGGCACAATGGGATGCCCGAGCTCGGTCAGGGTCTGTGCAATACCCAGTGTGACAGGGGCCCCTGACCTCTGACAAGAAGACCCACAAATAATTTCAACCAGCTTTATCCAGAGCAGATGAGGGAAGGGGATGGGAGCAGCTCGGAGGGGGAGATCAAGGGGGCAGAGGTGGGGGGGGTGAGAATGAGATCGAGTGGAGCAGCTGGAGGGTTTACCTCATTTCCTTACCTGTGTCTTTGGGGGATGCAGCGTCTCAGAGTCGACCCCTGTCCCAGGTCCCCAACACAATGCATGCAGCTTGCCCAGATTTGGCTCATTCAGGGAACATGGAGCCGTTCATGTGGGGGTATATCGGGGGGGGGACAAAAGGGGCAGATCACAGGACGTGGTTGGGTCCGATCATGTCTGCAAAGCCTGGAAGGTCTTCGTCACCCATAGCTACATGCAGATGTCACACGAACCAGAAGCTCCCCCCCCCCGTGCTGGGACCTAGCAAGGTGTTTGCATTTGGCTGCCCACATCCTGGGGCAGGTGGGTGGGGCCCCCCGCAGACAACAGGGGCTGAGACAGCCATGTCCAGCCGACTCCAGTGGGTAAGGTCCCAGGAGCAGAGACACCAGCTGGGTCTCTGCCCTTGAGTCCCTCCTGGCTGGGGAAAGGGAAAAGAGCCCCGCTGGGAATGGGACGTGTGACATTCTCAGCCCTGCCTTTGCTGCAGGGAACCCACCCCTTGGCCCCGGGCCATGTAACAGGCCAGCCAACACGAAGGAAACCCTCGCTCTGTGCTAGAGACCACAGAAACCACACCCCGGGCTGCAACCTGCCTTCGTGTCTCATCATTTGCCTGGAGGCCTCAGGCGTGGGGGCACTTTTCTCAATTAGGAGCAGGGAGGTGATTTTCCATCTGGATCCGGCCCTGGTGCAACCGCTGCTGGGATCCTGTGTCCGGTTCTGGTGCCCACCCTTCGAGAAGGATGTTGAGCAACTGGAGAGGGGTCAGAGAAGAGCCATGAGAAGGACTAATGGACTGGACTCCAGGCTTGACAGAGAAAGACTCCAGGAGCTGAGGCTGTTCATTTTATCAAAGTGTTGCCGGCACCCAATGCCGAGAGGCTGAACAACAGCTTGAGTTGGTTTGTTACCCGGTGTGCTGCACCCAATAATTACAATGGGGTGGAGAAGCAGAAAAGTTTATTTGAAGCTTTAAAAAGGTACAGGGAGATTTGAATTTTAAATTTTGTATAATAGAGCAGGAAGTTATATAGGCTTTTATATATATATTTTTTTAGCATATTTATTTAATAGCAAGCTGTTTTAAGTATTTATATAGCTAGCTAATTTAGTTTTTAGCTAGTTTTTTGATTTTTTGTATTATTTGTTAAATTATATATAAAGCTGTTTTATTTAGCATTGTTTTTTTATATTTTTTTTGTTTGGCTTTGCTTAGTTTTAGGCAGTTTGATTTTGCAACATATTGTTGCAGATTTTTAGCATAACTGCTGTGTGTGCCTCCAGGCGGGGGGGCCAAGGACACTTGGGCCTAGCACGCAGAGCTGCTGCGAGTGCCTCCAGGCAGGAGGGCTGGGGGGGACCAAGGACACCGGGGCCTAGTGCGAGGGGGCTTCATTGACACTCGTGGTTTTTTATCCCCTTGAGTTACCTAATGGCCATGCCCCAGTGTTCCCAACAACTCCCCCCTTTGAGAACACTTAACAGCCTTGGCTTTGAGTTTTTTTATTTGGGCTTGCTACATTGGAGATATTAATTGGACGGCAAGTTATATTTTTAAATTTTTTTTTTTGTGGTAAGATTATTTGTAAGTGTTTTTTTAAAAGGGGAGGAACCATTACATTTATACCGTTGGCCTCCCCTGTTGGTTTTTATTTAATATTTATTAGCCCATTGTGTAATAATACCCCTGTTGGTTTTTACTTAGAGACTAACCAATTTATTTGAGCATGAGCTTTCACGAAAGCTCATGCTCAAATAAATTGGTTAGTCTCAAAGGTCCCCACAATTCTCTTTTTTTTTTTAAAAAAAAACAGGAGCTGTTCCTCTGAAACCTTTTTTTTACAGGATGCTTATAGGGATTAGAGTGTTTTTTTAAAAGGGGAGGAACCATTACACCCATACTGTTGGCTTTTTTTGTTGGTTTTTATTTAATATTTATTAGCTTACTGTGTAATAACACAGGAGCTTTTTTTTATAGGATGCCCATAGGGATCAGATTGGTTTTGGGTACAACATAACACTCCCTCAGTGAGTACTGCAACTGAATATTTTTGGTCCTGATAGGTGGCTTGCTGTAAAGAGGTCTTGTTCCAGAACGGCGAGTTTGTTTTTTCCTGCTCTTTGGTGGTGGCTAATTTTGCTAGGGTTAAGGGCAGCATGTCAAGGGGCATTTTTGTTTTGGGGGACAGTGGAGTTGGAGCACACACCCAGCAATCAGTTTGGTTTGTTAAATTAGCAACATGGTGCGCAAGCAAAACAAAGGAGTTATGCTTTTGATATGCACAGTTTGGAAATATTAATATAAAGAATAACAATGTTATTTAATGAATTATTATTAGAGTTTTTTTAATTTAAGGTTTTTAATACCTGGGTGGGCCCATTTTAGCATTAAGGTGCCCGCTATTTGTGTCTTTTAAACAGTAGCTTTAGCCTGAGATTGTTACTAGATGAGGAGTCAGCAGGTTGGACGGTCCACTGTTCTGCTGACGAGGGGGCGGGTACTGCCTTCAGACGAGAGTGATGGATTCAGTTCTTGTGTCCCTTGATTTTTGCCGCTGTATGGGAAATCAGCAGGACGGTATAGGGTTTTTTCCACTTTTCCTGGAGAGGCTCGTCTTTCCAGGTGCAAACAAGCACAGAGTCACCGGGCTGTAAGGAGTGAACGGGAGAGTCCAAGGGGAGAAGCTGGGAATTCTTGGTATACCTGTGAAGAGACAAGAGAACAGCAGACAGGGAACACATATACTGAGACAAAAAACCATTACCCAACTCCCATTCCCCTGACAGAACCGGGGTGCCATTCATGGGCCATGCCCTTCCAAACATAATTTTAAAAAGGGACTAAGCCCTAATCTACCCTTGGGGAGAACGCGGATATGGAGTAGGACGAGGGGCAAAGCATCAGGCCATCGCAGTGAGGCTTCTTGGCACACTTTTGAGAGATGCCATTTAAGGGTCTGATTGGTATGCTCCACTACACCACTGGCTTGCGGTCTCCAGGGCGTATGGAGTTCCAGGGGATCTGTAAGGCATGTGAGATGCTTTGAATGATTTTTGACGTGAAGTTTGTCCCATTGTCAGATTCCATCCACAGGGGGAGTCCAAAGCGAGGAATGATCTCCTTAACAAACTTGAGGGCCACTGTCCTGGCAGTGCAGTTACGGCATGGGAAGGCTTTTGGCCATTCGCTGAACCGATTTACTATAACAAGGAGATATTTGAACCCTTGGGTCCGGGGAAACTCAGTAAAGTTTATTTGCCACACTTGTCCGGGGCCCGGAGTGGGTTCCAGGGCAACTGGTGGCACAGGATGTCCCGGTCGGGGGTTATTCTTTTGGCAGACTAAGCAGTCCGCTTGTACCTGGGCAGCCAGGGGTCGGAGTCCGGAAGTGATAAAGTATTTTCCCATTAGCTGGATAAGTGCTTCCCTGCCAGCATGAGTGGTTTGATGTAGTTTCTGCAGCACTGGCCGGATTAGGCCCTTTGGTAAGAGGACCTTCCCTTCCGGGGAATGGAGCCATCCCTCCTTTTCCCAGAGACAGAGTTTGTCAGTTAGCTGTTTTTTTTTTTTAGAGTACTGAGGGGTTGGAAGCTCCCCTACTGATGGGATAAGGGCATGCATATGGGCGTTCTCAGCCTGAGGGGATGGCAGGGTGGCAGCATGCTTAGCTTCTCTATTTGCCCGGGCGTTACCTCTGGCCACATCTTGATCCTCCCTTTGATGGGCTTTGCAGTGTACCACCGCCACTTCCGAGGGGAGTTGTACGGCTTCTAGGAGCCGGAGGATTTGGGGCCCGTACTTGACTGGGGA